TCAGGAAAGGAGAACTTCATGTCACCTTTTACTCTAAATTAGAGAAAGCCTACTCACCGTAGGATAGTTTTTGAAGCCAATTTCCTTTCCATTTTTTTCTTATAAACAAGTACATCGGATACCTGCAAACCCAAATATTATGGCTTTGGGCTGGTACAGGAGAGCTGAAAAGTGGAACTGGTTGGCTCAAACTGGGCAAAATGTAAAACTAAATGTATTGTGGGGAAACAGTAGATTGATTTAAAACAAAAGCAACCTAGGGAACAGGAAGAAAAAGAAATGTACGCAGGTTTTATTTTTTAAAAAAATCAACATCTTTCTAGGTAGAATTCTGATGAGGCAGCAATGCTTTTTGGCGTAAGCAGCAATGTTTTGCAGCTACTGAGAGACTGCTAGAGGTTGGGACGGCTTTCCCTGTGTTTCTGATTTTATTCACCCTGGGTGTGATAATCTCTCACCATGGAAAGCCACAGACCTGTCTACTGACAACAGCGTGTTGCAATTAATGGGCTGGTTTTATAAGGAATTACTGCTGCGAATTGCAAACCAGTTTTGACCGCTTACCCGAAGGCCAAGATGCTAGATGCCCTAAGAAGAGTTAGGGTTTCTGGTGCCCTGTACCCCCTAATAGGGTCAGGCTTTCAGACAGCAGGCACTTACCCTTTGCTGAAAGTCCGGCATCAATGTAAAGTCAGGCAATTGAAGAGCCCAAGCTGCAGGATGTTTTTTTGAAAAGGTAGGCCTGAGGCTCCGTATCGATCAATCATTATTCTAATTGTTCATTTCTATTATGGTGGGAAACATGCAGAATCCTAGAGTTCCTGGGAGTAAATCATTTGGAAGTGCTGCCCATTATAAAATTTAATTTTAAATCTATATTAAATAGATTTATAAAGGCAAGCTTTGCAATCTAGTAACGTAACATTATGCTACCTCACAGAGGCTCAGCTTTTGGGTCCTAAGGGGCCATGGCTGGGAGTGCTGAGGAGGCAACGCGTTGGCTTGTTGTGAGTGGGACGGTGAGGATACCAAGCCTACCTTTTGTGTGACCCTTCTGGGCCACCTTCAGAGGAGCATTGATCTGGTTTTGCTGAGAGATCCATCCAGCTGTTCTGGATGGAGTAGGGTCACGGGGTACCGTCTGCCATGAAGATGAGGCTTCCAGAGGGCTGATCCCATCTCTGGGGCAGGGGAAGGGGTGGGAGATGGCAGAGGGGTGGCACAGGCTGGAACGGGATGGGAGCAAGGATGCTGGACCAATCTTTCTTTTTCTTTCAGACAGAAGAGAAGAGGGGAAAGGAAAGCAAAACTGCATTTGGAGGCCCTGTTGTCAGCTCATTATATCAAGAAGAAACAATCAGGTGATTATTTGTGCTGGACTTCAGTTAAAACAGTATTTTTCTAATGTCATTTTGTTAAGCCTTTTTTTTTTTTTTTCAATATTGCACAAGTGTGGTGGCAACTACAACAGGATAATAAATGACAGGAAAGAACTTTTCAGGTCCATAATCATTTAAATCAATAACTGCCTGTATCATTGCCAGGTAGTAACCTTTCCCTAGCGCAAGATGTGGGGGAAGGGCAAGGCTTCCCATTTTTCAGTTATATGGCTAAAAAAAGGTAATATTGGATATCTTTAATAGAAAGCTATTCAGACACTACCTTTTTCAAGCAGTTATTTCTTTACCAATATGTTCATTAAGGGTTGTTCAGTGAAGGTTTTAATGTTGGACAGTGTTTGCCTTCAGGGAGAGTTTGTACCTTATATCAAATTTAATTTTTCCTAGCTTCCACAGCTCACATAGCAGAAACGCATTTACTGAACTAGAATGGTTGCTATTTAAAAACTGTCAAGGTGCAAGTAGTAAGTGACATTAGCTACTGAGTAAGGACGGCTGGGTTTTCTTGTTTGGTTGGTTTTTACTGTTCCAGACTACTAATCATGGGTATAATATTAACTCCAATACCTAAATGATTGTCTGGAGGATCTCTCAGAATAGGGAATCGTATTTTTAGTTAAGGTGAACAGTCAGAGAAGACTAAATTTTTGAGCAGTGTTTGCTGTCGTGTTGCAGTCATCCATTTATGTGTATGTGATCCCATTTGTTTTATTGAATGTCTTGCATCATTTTAGTCCCAGGAATTTAAAAGATAAACACTGATTTCTCTACACGCAGCCTCCCAAGCTTACTGAGAATTTGCCTGAAGTGTTAAAACTCTAACACAGCATTTCTTTGACTTGTTGTCACAAACTAACGAAAAATAAATCTTGAGCAGGTGGCTCCAAACCCTTTGCAAAGAACTCAGGTGCAAATTGATAAGGCTGCATTCTGAGTAAGCAAATTCAGCGGCAGTTTTGTGCTCAGCAGTAGTGCAGGCACTTCCCTCAGTGTTGCAATCCACTTTATAGTGAGATGGAACAGTTGGCCAGAAGTAGCCTTCTCCGCCTCACACGGAGAGCCAACACATCTTTAACTTGCACCTGGACCTTGACCAGAGGTGGCCAGGTTTGATCTTGTTTTAACGCACTCTCTGAGGAATAGCAGTTCTCCTAGCCACAAGCTCCTTTTCTTCCCTGCTCTGTCAACGTAAGTCTTGGCCAACATCCTTCATGCCATAGTTTGACCTTGTGGTTTAAATCCTGTTTGAGCTTTTCTTTTAGGAGTGGAACATGTCAGTGCTGCCCAGTGTTGGGTGCTAAGTGTGAGCCATGCTTAGTCCTACGGTGCTTTTGGCGTCTTGGCTATCCCAAGTACTGCCTGCGCCCCTTCTTGGATATAAAATACAGCACAATATACAGAAAAACAGAGTTTACCCTGGTTGGCTTGACTAAATCTTCTTGTCATATTTTTGTCTTTATTTCCATAAGAATATGACTTGCGCAGGACTTGAAGGTAAGTACATCTCTGAATACATTTTTCCCACACATACCATGAGGAAATATGTGCTGTATATCTAGTATAGCATAGCTATATTGGCTGTAGGTAGATGTAGTCTCTGACACAGCTGGAATAGGGTGATTCTGCTGAAAGTGAGTTAAATGAAGTTTCCTGTCTCTGCTGGCAGAATGGAAACTCATGTGGTCCATTAGCACAGCTTGGCTCGCAGGCATTGGTGTCTTCAGTTGCGAGATAGGAAGTAGGCAAGTGTCGTCATAATCTCACCCACATGCAGGTTGTACAGCTTCAGATTTCTCGGTGCAGTTGCTCGTGTATTACGACTTTTGTCTACTGTTCGTTCTCTTACTACAACAGGGAATAAATGTGCACAAGTATAGGCACGTCTCTAATGGTGATAATTATAATAGTAAAAGCATAGCCCTAAACAGCAAAATTGCACTGGTACAAAATCTGGAAGCAGATGAGCCAAAGAAGGACGGGCCTAGGCGTTCAATTTGGCATCCAAGTTTATTTAAAGCATGGAGTGAATTCTCTCGATAGTATTACCGCTCACCTGAGAAGGGTGACTTTTCTGAGGCTGTGAGTGGTTACTTACAAGACCATAAGATTAGCATTCAATAATACTTCAGTGCATTTGTAAATCGAAAAAAGGCATTTTCTGTAGAGGAAGAAAATTAGATGTTTAAGGGGACAGAAAACTTAATAGCTTGAGCCAGCATAAACTTAAACACATTGATAGTTACTGGTAAGTCCCACGCTGAAAGTTCAGTGTGTATTTGTGTACTACTTCGAAACCAAAGATATGAGAAAAGGAACTTTGCAGACTATTTTATTGACTCAGTTGTCTATGGTGGGCCTTACTGAACCTTCATAACAAGCTTGCAAAAATGGGAATATAAATCAAACCACTTTAGTCTCTGTTTCCCAGGGCTGTTGATATGATCCTATAACAGGGAAATATTTATCCTATTGAGGAACCCGGAATAAGCAAAAAATAATATTCTGTGTACTAAAAACTAAAACTTGAGTCCTCATCAGCCCTGGGTTCTGACAGACCGCTGAAAGCAATTTCTCAGCAGGCATTACTCTGCCAAACGCAGCCTACCATACGCCCTTTAGGATTCTGCTGATGCAAAGGCAGGAAAAGGCTGTCTAATTTATCTGGAGCCCCGGAATCTTCACAACCTTGCCTTGCACCAGGAGATAGACAAGAATGCAAGTGCAGAGTTTTGAAGGTTCATATGAGCAGATTCACTTATTTTATTCTTACCAGAATCTTTTGAACAGTTTAACAAATGATTAGCCTCACAGCCCTTTAGGATTCTGCTGATGCAAAGGCAGGAAAAGGCTGTCTAATTTATCTGGAGCCCCGGAATCTTCACAACCTTGCCTTGCACCAGGAGATAGACAAGAATGCAAGTGCAGAGTTTTGAAGGTTCATATGAGCAGATTCACTTATTTTATTCTTACCAGAATCTTTTGAACAGTTTAACAAATGATTAGCCTCCTTCAAGCTCCTGCTATATGATAGAAAGATGAGAGATCTCATTTTAAATAGTGTAAACCACCAGTTTACCATCGGCAGTAAATTAGCAAACCAGCAATGCCATTGTTTTCAAACTGAGCGTCTAAAATTATGTTTACATTCCTTTTATGGAATGACATGCTTTGGGGTTTAGGGTGTAAATCTGTAATTGTTGGACAAAGTGGAGTAACCATACCCTACCCTAAAGTCAGGTGGATCAGAAGTAGGAGGAACTGGGATGGTGGCAGGGCTGATTTTGCCTTATCGCTAATTATCTCAAATGTTTCTGCTTTGAGAACAAGATAGAAAAATGGTCAGTCTGGCTCGCAGAAGTACATTGCACTGATTCCAAATAAATTCAAGAGCATCCATAGAAACAGGTTATACCGATCTAATTAAATCAATTTAGAAAGAGATTCGGTTAAATCAGTGCAATTTGTGTGTTCATAGATCAATCCTCAAATCAGGATAAGGTCTCTTGAGCTAATGAGGCATAGCAGTTATTTACTTTGGGGTGCTGGGCACTGATCATCAATTAGGAGTCATTAATAAACCCTGGCAATAAAGAGCTCAAGTACCCCCAGTGACTAATGGGGAGCAGTTGCAGAATGTGTTAGCATAGTGCTCTGCCTCTGTGTTTCTCTGCAAATCACTTATCTCACTTTGGGCATTACATAAAAATAATGCATGCTGGTGACTGATGATGGGACTTGGAGGTTCCTCTGGAAGGAAGGATTTAGAAATTATCTGTGATTTCAGGCTGGGTATAGCAGTGGGGTTTTCTACTGCTGCATAAAGCTTTCTGTCTCTTTTCTGATCTTATTACCAGAACAAAAGCAGTAGTAGTTGAGCTCTTTCATGATCAAATAGCTATAATTACAGTTTCACAAACCTGGGAAATGAGCAGTGAGATGAGGATGACTGATGTGTCACCAATATAAATCTAATCTTAGACACAAACTGAGGGAGATGCCAAAAATACTGTAGCATTGGAAATTCAACTTTAAAGCGGGGATGAGGGGGTAGGCAGTTTACAAGTGTTTCCAGGAAACGAAAGCATTGACTTGGCAGATGGAGAACGCAGAATAATGTTGCCAGACGCATCCGTGTCCCTTTCCCCTTCCACTGGAGGAGCCCTCCTGCACTCTGCCGTGGGCCGCTTCCACACGGCCTCAGTGTGTTGGGATGGGAACAACGTCCGCCAGTCAGCACGGAGGCCTCCCTGAGCTTGGCTTTACAATTTTGCCATCCCGAGGGATGCTGAAGAAGCCCTTCTCTTGTAGAAACTTCTGCGCTTTCCCGTGATGCTTAGGAGTGATGCCGGTCGCGAGCGGGGCTTCGTTTAGGATCGGGGTACGGAGCAGGCACCCCTCATATTTGGGAGCCTGCCTGATGCCGTGTAATCTATCAGAATTGTATTAATCCCACTAACGCAGCAGCCATCTGGCCCCACTGCCGGGCCGGCTCGCGCGAGCTCCCGTGATGGATGGCCTCGGGAATTGATTAGTTGTTGTGTGAGACAAATGAACTGTTTTGGCAGAAAATACCAGAGGTCGCTGCGTGTGGTCAGGCACAAAGGCTGCTGAATTTTAAAGAGCTACTTCCAGCATCCATTGCAAGGATGCTACTTTGGAGCGGCGACAGCTTTTGAGACGAGCACGACTGGGGTTTTGTTCTCTTCCCTCCAGTCCCGCTTTCTGCAACACCAGTGCTGGAAATGAGTGCAAAGCCGTGGAGGTGTGGGAGCCGGCATCCTTGCCGTGTTGGGAATTACAGGCTTGCGCTGGTATTGTGCGTGCATTTGGGTGGCTGTGCCGCAGATGTCTGTCGCTTGCACAAATGCCGGGCTGTGCAGTCCCTGTGGAAGAGCTTTCCCGGTTTTGCGGAGCCCAAGCAGCCCGTGGTGTGCTCAGCCGTGGCGCGCCTCAAACAAAAC